CAAAATGTATTTACAAAATACTTTCAGTAAATGTTGACAATGTGTACTTCAGTTTTGTAAACTATGCAAATTTATTATTTTTTCCCATTTCTGTGGCTGAAACAACTCAAAATCTTGTTTAGAATTGAGCAATACTTCTTTAAAAAAGAGATCGTTTTCTTCACCCTTAAACTAAAAAGCACAATTTTTTATGAAACATGACACTTTTATAAGTAAAACATTTGAATGTTATAATTGCTGTGTCCAAATTTTGCCTTTTTTTAGCAGGCTAACTTCATTATTTGGATTTATAAAAGCATGGGTTTTGCTAGCTTACTTTTGGTAAGTGCTATGTTGATGCTACTGCTTTCCACTGAAATATAAGAGTTAGCAGTAGGTCAGCCTTCATGCTCATAGAAAGTAGATAAATTTTCTCCTTGCTTGTGTTTAACTGGGATAAGTATACTAGGTTCAGTCCTGCTGCCATTGCAGTTCACTCTCTTACTGAGAGGGAGCAGTTTTAAATCTTGTGTACTTGTTGCCCAAATGCATAAAAAACCCCAAGATTTTTTAAAATCGCATTGTAACTGCTGTCAGTACAAGTCCAACTGACCGCTTCAGTGCCTTAGCCTTGCAAAACAGGAGCAGGAGTCACTGTCTTTCTGTGCTATCCACACTTACAGGTCTTATATGCAACTCGGCAAAGGTTTTCAGCAGCAGTTAGCAAAAGCTAACAAATACAAACGGGGTGTGAAGCCAGAACAGGTCCCTGAGAGAGAGGTACTGCAACCCGTGGTAACAGTGGCTGTAACCTCCTGCACAGGAAGACCTTTGTCATGATATAACTTAGTACTTGATACGTCTCTTCTAACCTAATAATCTTAAGTGTGTTGGTGGAGTTAGGTGTGTAGCAGGGAAATAAGGCAGGCACCAATTTGTTTTTCAGTTACTGAAATAACATTATCGATATCCTCATTCTCTTTAACCTTGGTAGCCCATTGTGTAAATATCTACTTTAGAGGAATCTTACTTTTAATAAAACTCAGTTGTCTCTGAATAAAAGGCAAGCTTAGGTCTCTGAGCTGAAATATGTAATCGTTCAGCAATGCTGTAAATGTGTGTAACCCTGTACAAGGCAATATAAGATGTCTTCTGTGTTAAAACTTTGACAGACTTTTGCTTTCTCTCCTTAAAATTGCCCTCTTCAGTATCTCTGCACCTGAAAAATTTAAGCTGTGATTCAAAAGAAGGCCTATTCTGCTTATTACATATGACTTCATTTTGTTTGTTTGGCAACCATCCTTCCTGTTCACTGCAGGGGGTGAATGTAAATTGTGGAAGAGAAATGGATGGGGAGGGGGACTAAGGAAGCCAAATATTTTACAGAAGACTGAATCTTCTGTAAAATATTTGAGATGCAGCAAAACTTCTGGGCTAGATTAGTTTTGAAACAACACTTATGCCCCCCTGCAAAGTATGGGGACAAATGCTTGATTTTGAATTGAAAGGAATAAAGGATGATGCTGCTAAAAGTCAGATGCATTGATGTTAGAGCCTGGTGTTTTACTTATTAAAGCCCAGTGCTTCTCCTTCCCCTAGTCCCCCCTGCCACAGATCAAGATTATTCAATCACAACAGTGGTTTAACCATATCTGTGGTGGAGCAGGATGGTTGCTTAACGATGCACAGAAGCATTGTGCCCTGGTTTAGTGCAGGAAGTGGAAAATGATTATTGTTTTGAACTTGAACTTTGTGAGCAGACAGAAGATAATTATCAGAGCTGGAACTCCCCCGGGAAAGTGGGGGAGTGATGCACTGTACTTGTAGGAAGCACTGTGGGATCTTAAATATCTAGTAGTGTTTAACACTTTGGTTTTACATTTCTGCTTTTTAATTGATCTTCCTCCACTCCTCAGGGAGTGCCAGGGAAAACCCTGGCAAATGGAGGAAAACACAATTGCATGTAGACTTCATGTATTGTATTTACTGATAGACACCCTCCTGCCATTCCTTTGCTGGTGAGGCAGGACTCTTAAATTTCTGTCTTGATCCTGGTGTTACTTTCACTTGTAAAATGAACTCTTTCACTGCCTGGTTTACCTATATATATTATGGACCTATTACAACATGGAAAATTGACTTAATTGGTGATTAAGAGCACAATTGTATGTGAAGCCATTTAATCAGAAGCCGTAAGCCACTTGTGTAGTATTTATTATAAACTGTAGTAGTTTATCTGCTTTCTTAAGTGGAAAAACCCACTGAAATGTCACAAAGTCTGCACAGTTGTGAAGTTACCATTTTGAGTATCAACTTTTTCATAACATATGAGTGTTAAAATATCACTGACCACTTTCTAGAAAAAAATAAGGAAAAAGGCAAAGCTGTGCCTTCACTGGATGTTTTGCTGTATTCCAGGGGCCTGTAACTTTGGCAAACTACCTGCGTTTTTCTGTTTGGTTTGGGTTTTTTTCCTCTATTTTGGCTGCTACTTTACAAGTTCTTCAACAGAAAATAGTCAGTGCAAGACTTCATCTTCTTTGCAGACTGCAGCATCTTCTGTAGATTTTTTTTAAATACTGTTCCCTATTAAGTTAGGTAATTACTGAGGGGAGAAGAGTTTTTGCTAACTTACTGAAGGTGATACTTCTACCTATGGCACGTACATGGGCTTTTTATTTTTGTTCTCAGAAAATAATTCCTTATTTTAAAAATATAGTTTAAAGTTTCAAAGTAAAAATACATTAATTTTCAAAGTAAAAGTAAATATGTGTTCTTTATGATAATGTTTCCCTGATTAAGTTAACAAGACTACTTAATTTTACATTAACACAGTTGTGGCATTCTTATTTGTGGTGAAGTTTTCAAGGTAGTAAAATTAAGTCATTTTAAAAGAAAATTGTGTGATGATTTATTGTAGCAGAGTAGGGGAAATTCCTCTAGAGATTTTAATATCTTCCACCTGGTATAGAAATGAAAAGAAAATATTCTTTAGCCGGTGACTAATTTGTCACTAATACCCAGGGGTTCCTTCATTACAATGCAAAGATGTCAGTTTTAAGAGAAACGTACAGTGAAAAAACCCAGTGCAACTTCCTGTTGCAGACACTTACCAAAAGGAGAAAAATAAAGGTCTGGAAAGCAGCCGAAGTGGTGTGAAGGAAGGCTCTAAAGCTATCAATCAGGGCAAAATGGTTGAAGAAGGATTTTACCTGCAGGCTTCAGTGGAATTTATTAGGACATGTTTGAGGAGGAAAGTCACTTGATACAACTCCAGAGGAGGAGCTCTGACATGCAGTAATACCCAGGCTGATGTTCAGTTCTTCTCCAAGCTGCACGTACTGCATCATGGTAATTGTTTGAGTAGGAACTGTTTGTTAAAAGCAGTCACATCCTGCTTACTGCTGGCTTTTTTACTTTATCACAATGTTAAATGAATCTGGTCCAAGACTTACTGTACAGATTAAAATGCTGCTAGAGAACACCTGTAGCTACTGACAGCTCAAAGCCAACACCAAAGATCATAGTGTCCCTTCCACATCAGTGTCTTGACAAGTCGTTTTTCCCAGCGGAGGATGTCCAGACACTTGCATAGTGTCATCACTTTGCATTTTCTGCAATAACAAGATTTTGACTCAGCTTATGTCCTTCCAGTACTGTGATTTCCAACAGCTCAGTATGCGGAGGGGGACCACCAGCTGTCGCAGTGTCTGGAGAGAGAATTTTGGTCTCCATTCCTTAAAAACCAGTTCTGCACTCATGTCACATTTGAGTAGGCACAGTAAAATGTGAGCATGAATACTGGATAGAGGATATCTGCTTATGACCAGCTTCAGAGTTTGAAATAGGTGATTGGCAATAGCAGCAAAGTGTCAGCCTGTGGTAGCAGAATATCTGCAAGCAGCCTCTGTTGTTCACTTTATGGGTGCAAGAATCACAGCAACGGGTCTAGTTTCCAGCGGAGGAGTGGATGCATTCGGATGGAGCAGGTATCGCCAGCCTGTACCTCTCCAGCAGTCTAGCTTCTTGAGGGCTTTCTGGTTTACTCTTCACCTACTTTTTAGTACAGCCCAAAATGTCACGCGTTAGCAGTGTATGTCTGTGACAGAAGTAATGATTCAGTGTTAGGACTGCAGTGATGTTAGAGGTTTGGGAAGAAGTAGCCAGTCCTGCACCGAACAATGTACATGTTAGAAACGAGCTGCCTGACAACACTGTGGTAAAAGTGTTTGTTTAGAAAGCATGTCCTGCAGACTCCAGGCCATGTTAACACAGTTCTGTTTCTTGCTAGAAAGTAAGATTTAGTCTCAGCCATTCTACAGTTAGTTGGAGAAAAGGAAGATTTTATGTTCTGTCAGAACATTATTATTGGAAAGGAAAATTATTGGTTTTGCTCTTTCTTTCAGTTTCAGTGTATTCTTGAGAGCACTGAGGTGAATAATGAACATTTTTGTATGTGTGGTGGGTTGACTTGTGATGGCAGCCTGACATCCACCTGGTTCCTTCCCCACTCCCTTCATGAGCAGGTTGCGGGGAGAAGATAAGATGAAAAACCTCATGGGTCAAGATAAAGACAGGGAAGATTGCTTGCCAGTTACCATCACAAGCAAAACAGACTTGGGGAAGATTAATTTATTGCCAACTAAAATAGTGTTGGATGTTGAGAAACAAAGGGAAGAACTAAAAAGCACTCTGCCGGCCCTCTTCTCTCAGGTTCAGCTTTGCTCCTTCATTCGCAGTTCCTGTACCTCCCTCGGAGCAGCGTGAGGAACAGGGGACTGCAGCCATTGTGTAACGTCCCCTTTCTACCAGTTCTTCCTCCTCCTCACACTTTTCCCCCGCTCCCTTCGGGTTCCTGTCAGAGCCGGCTGCAGCCTGGTCTCCTCAGGAGCTGCGGCGCCTGCAGCGCCCCCTTCCCGCCTTCCCCTGAGGCCTTGATGGGCCTCGCAGGGCTGTTTCCCTCACGGTTTTTCTTATCACTGTGCCAAATTTGCCCTGTCACGGAGGCACCACTGGCTTCTCCAGCGGGCTCAGCCAGGTCCTGCTGTGGGTCTGTGGCGGAGCCGGCTGGAACCGGCACAGGGCAGCCCCTCACAAAAGGCCCCTGCAGCCTCCCCTGGCAGTGTCTGGGCACAGACACCCAGTACAGGATGACAAAATCAGCACGTTATTAATTCATATTGGACTGGGATCTGGAGCAATTGCACATCCCATCCGGTGGGAATTGGTGGCGGTTTTGGAGTGACTTGCAACAGGGAAGGAAAGGGAAGTGTGACCTTGCTTATCCTGCCTCCCGCCTGAGGTAAGAGGCAAGTAAATAAGCAGCAGTTCTGGCTGGTAAAACCTAAAATGGGATCCACCTTTTCAAAAGTCTCAGAGTTGATGCAGAAAGGCTATTGGGGCATCTTGTGGGCAATGATGATCCTGCACAGAATGCTGAAGTTGTGCTTTACTGGTGTTTTAAGGATTGATATTTTTTTAGAAAGCAATCTAAATGCGCTTGTAACGTGCTGGCTGTTGAAATGTGGTGTCATTTTTAAATGACTACCTGAACTAGGGACACCTTTTTTTTCCATGTTGAGGGTCTTGTATTTGCTAGATATAATTTTTTTTTGAGAGTGTTGTGATTTTAAGTTGCTTGTAATCTTGTAACTGCTCTGAAGGTGGGAAAGGCTATTGTAGAGGACCTGTGCTCCCTGCCTCTCCAGAGGCAGAGCCTTTTTAAACATGTTGGATTTTTTGCATGTGTTCTATTAATATTCATATCAAGAGTATAGAAACAGGTGGCCATCGAATGGTGGCCATCATCTGATCTTAATCATGTGCCCAAGGCTTAAATAACATTTAACATTTTCTTCAGAGGTTGGGCTTCAGGGCTTTTAAAGCCATTAACCTGAAGCTTGCATGGCATCATTCTCCTACCTGATTTATGCTACAAAGGAAGGTATGTGTTCAGTTCCTTATGAGCCATTCCTTATGGTTGATGGAGGCTCTGTGCCAAGGAAGAGCCTGGAGTGCACAGGGAAGAGGTTGTCTGAGGAGGGCAAAGGGTTCTGCAGTTCTCTGTGGTTTTAGGTTTACTTTGAGAGGGATCTTGCCACTTGTGGCTGCTAACAAGGTGGTAAGTAAAGATGACTGCACCGTGCTAGTGTTATCACACATAGTAATGCACCAGATGCTCTGTTGGCAAACTAACATTTTGTTGAGCTTCTTTTGTGTTCTCAAGAGAGCCTTAAATTTATGAGTTTTTTTCTGGGAAGCAAGTTAGAAAAATCATTTGAACAGCAGTCAGCTCAGGAGAGAGCTCTATGTAAGTATTTTTTTTTTATGCTTAAGCTGACAAGCCAAAGTCTTGCCCCAAAATATTGTCTGCTGCTCTACAAAGAAACTATAAGTCTTTCATTAATCATTTAGTGATCCTTTAACTATATGGTAAACAAAACCCACCAGGCCTGTGTTGTCCTGCTTGCAGCCAATTCTCTTTTGCTCAACACCTCATGCAGAACTTGGTTTGAAACCCAATCTACCGAGGTGCTGCCTCCCCCAGCAGACATACAATTAATGACCCCAGATGTCTCCTTAATGAAGGGGTTTTGTTGTGCCAACACGATGCTCGCTGTCCTTCCTCAAGTGGATGCTGTGTTGATGCAGATAGCATTACCAAAAGAAGTAGTATGGAATCTGCAATCTTGTGGTCACTGGAATTTAAAATCCTGAAATTATTCTTGGCATATAAAGGTTAGTGCATACCGTGCTTATTTCAGAGTCACTGAAAATCAAGCCCTGAGTTGTGTCATGGGTTTGGTTTTTTTTAGTGCTTCGTGTTTTTTTTTTTGTAGTGCTTCAAACAATTGATGCATTCTTGCGACCTTTGGAAGTACAGCTTGGATTGTAATCCACGAATCAGATGTTAGCAAAGAAGAAATAGCTAGGATGTGACTTGTGGAGGCATTTTCAGATGGTCCCCGACAATGAACAGTGAAGTGCTTAGAGTTGGAATATTACTTATGCAAAAGGGAAGTTGAAGCTTAGTTGCCAAAATCTGACTACTTTAACTTGCAAGTTGACTGAATATAGGTATGCTTTGCCCTGAAGTTTTAGCCTAGAAGTTGCGAAGCAGTTCCTGACACTGTAAATTTGAAGATTTCCAGGCTCACTTAAGTGCTGTCAACCAAAGCTTGTGTTCAGTCTTAAGCATTTTTCACTTCAGTTAGGAAGGCCTGAAATAATCAGTCCTTGGAAGGAAGTTGTGTTATCCTGACATGCATTTAAAAGAAATATTTTTCCTAGGTTGTAACTTTCTAGTTATGTAGTAGAGCTTTTTTGAAAGGTCCAAGCTTTTTTATGGAAAGGTCCAAAAACACTGCCAAGGTATATGCGTGACTTGAAGTAAACCCCCAAAGTAGTTTGATACCCCTGCAAATAGAACAGTGCTGCAAATACCTAAAGTAGATGTCAAAATAAGAATTGCTGACTCAAAGTCTGCACATGACTGTAGTTTATGGATTAGGTGGGGTGGGCATGGTGCTCAAAGACGTTATTAACCTGTTTGTCAGTTAACATTAAAGTAGTAAAAGTGGTGCCAACTTCAACTGTATTGGAGTACTTAATTGTAATCCTGTGTTTACAGGGAAGTATTGGTAGCTGTCACCTGAGCAGTGGAGTTAATTTGGGCAGATTGTCTTACTTGGCATTAGAACTACAGTCACCCTGCAAGCAGTGGGACCTTCCTCACAGAAGTCATGTTGATAGATTGCAGGTATGGTTTCAAGACTGGATTAAGCTGACTGAGAGCTGTGTTAACATTAAAAGAAGTGGCTTCCTCAGCTTGACTGCATGTTCCTGTCTTCTCCTCTCTGTTGGTGCTATTGGACATGCTACAGTCATCTTGCTGATCCAGCTGAGAAGAAAACCAGAAAAAAGATCAGTTGCTTGGTCTGACTGTAAACAGACTTGTGCCACTGCCTCTTGCAGGAGCTTGTGGCTGGGCTGGGGAGAGGACAGGGTTGCATCTTTGGTCAGTACTAAGGTCTTTGATTACAATCATTTGAAGCTAATCAGGTCCTGAGACAGATGATGATACAGTTGTGGGATTACCCTTAATAACTGAACTTCTAGGCAACAGTTTACAAAGTGTAGTTAACTTAGTTGTTGAGGGTTAATCAGCTCGATACTTTAGTTCAGGCATTTTTTCGTGTTCTCTTTTATTTGTGCACTTAATGTATAAAACTCGTACCCGTATCTGGCTTGCACTTCCAACAGTATGTGCCAAGTCCTGTCCTGCGCCTTCACCTGTTTCCCAAGGGCACTTTTAGGTAGATATTTTTAAAATGTGCATCTTAAGCACATTCCAGAGGAGCTTCAGAGTAAAATGTCAAGTTTTCTACTACTTTCTTTTAAGACAGCCAGAGAACCTGGAGAATAATCATGGTTGTGCATTGAATGAAGCACTTCTCCCAGTCATAGGAAGCCCATGATGATTTCCTCCAAGTTCAAGCCGTGTGTGACATCCTAGGTGGATAATAGTAGCACAGCGATCCTGATTTCATCCCTATCTGGAATTCTGTCAGAAGTGACTTGCCCAAAATGTTAACACCAAGTTAGTAGGACAGTGTTGAGAATCAAGAATCCTTAATTTCTTGGTTTCTGAATTCATCGGTACATTGACTATTTAAAGACCTTACTGAAATGAGCTATACTAATCCCAAATTTTGGTTACAATTTGAAAATTATCTGTTAAAGTAGCATTAACTCTCCCTTCAAGAGGGGTTGGTAAGATTGACTGATTAGCTATTTTAATTACTGAATGTGGGTTACATATATACAAGAAAAACTTCTCTCTGACGAAAGCATATTATATCTTGGCTCTTAGTACTAACCAGCTCAACTTTAATTTCACAGCTTGCTGCCAACAGCTGCCTTACTAAGACAGTACTCATAATAAATGAAATTTCACCAAAAAAGAAAAATGAAAACTTCGTTCCAGCTGGATTGAAAAGCAGTTGGAGCATTTCTATCCTGCATAGAAAGCTGCCATCCACATAAACATTTCAAATTACTTTTTCATTTTTAATAATCAGGATCAGACCTTTTCTTATTATTGAGGCAAATGCAAGATATTAGAAACATAGAATTTCATTCAAAGTCCATTATATATTGAATCCTGTCCAAAGCTAAGCAGTTGAAGTGTTTTGGAAGAAACTCACCTTTTAGTTTCAGGTTTTCAGATTTTTGACAACTTACTTGGAAAGGACCCCTGAAATGAGCAGGCTGCTCTGATGCCGCTTAGTAGTGCTCAGAGGGACATTAGTTGCTAGTTAGGTTGCTCTTGGAGCTGTTGCTTGTGTATTGTTGAAAGCCCTGCAGCTGATGAGGGCTTGCCCGGACTACCAACGGGAATCTCAGTTAAATTATCACACAGCCTCTCTGCACATGGAAGAGATTAGTTCTCATAGCCACAAACAGAATGAATGCTTTGTACTTAGTACCATAATGTTAGCTCACACTGAAATACAGTGCCAGTAACCAACTCCTTTACCAATAAATTCACAGTTCTAATAACCATGTGTTTTTACAGCATCCTGATCCAAAAGGATCAAAGAAACATTGATTTATTTAGTTTTGGGTCCCATTCCCTGTTGTTCTCGCTCCTTCGCCTTGCTCCACATGAGCTCAAAAGAGCCATATATGAGATGAAACCCAACTGTTGTTGTATAGTCCACAGCAGGGAGGGACACTTCACAAAACCACAGAAAAGAACATTTTAGCCAGTAGAAATGACAGGAAGTGTTGTGGGCAGACAGAACACAAACACTAGAGCCTGCTTTGACCAAGTCTGTATCAACCTGTCTAAACTGCTGTAAAGTTCTGTACTGATGATAAATGGATTGAAAGCTTAGAAATTCAACATCTCTGCTGTTGTATAGAAATATTTGAGACAGCGCTGATCTTTCCAAAACCTGATTTAGAATGCAACAGTGTTAGTTCCGGACAATGAAGCTGAGAAGTGTTGATATGAGTGTCTGATGAAGCAGGTACTCATTAGTCTGTAGAAGTGCCAGAAGCAGAAGCATTTTATCCTTCGGTTAGGAAAAGGTGAATAATGCTCAAAAGGAGCATTACTGCCAAGCTGTTGGTAATGTGATCATGTCACCAAACCTTGGTAAAGGCCCCTTGTCCTATGGCAAGCACATGCTAAGACATCATGTAACATAAGTAGTAAGTAGTCCATGGGGGCTGTTTGGAAACCCTCAAGGTATAAATCCCTAGTTGTAGGGCTGGTTGATGTTCCTCATCAAAAGA